GCCATGGCACTCTGCCCAGGGGGACAGCTTGAGGCTCTGTCTCCAAAAAAAAAAAAAAATAAATAAATAAAATACATACGTTAAATACATATCTAAATATACATTTTTTCTGATTAAAAAGAAAAAGAAGAAAAACAAAAATCATCCATGATCCCACCACTCTTTTTTTGGGAGGAGGGGGGGACAGAGGCTTACCCTGTCACCCCCGTAGAGTGCTGTGGCCTCATAACTCAAAACAACCTCAAACTCTTGGGCTCAAGCAATGCTCTTGCCTCAGCCTCCCAAGTAGCTGGGACTATAGGCGCCTGCCACAATGCCTGACTATTTTTAGAGACGGAGTCTCGCTCTAGCTCAGGCTGGTATTGAACTCGTGAGCTCAAGCCATCTGCCCGTAGAGTGCTAGGATTACAGGTGTGAGCCACCACACCTGGCCAAGGTGTATATAGATCTTAATGGTTTTCTAATAGACCTCCAAAGGCAGTAAGACATCCTTTAATGAGGATATAGGATCTGTTCAAATAAAGTTTAATTAATGCATTGTGATGTTTAGGAAAATATTTACCTGATTAAATGCTTTCTTCGTAGCTCTGTTTATACAGTTGGCGTATTTTTCAAAAGTATTATTATTTTAAATATCTAGAATTTATTTAAAGAAAATGATAAAAGCTATATTTAGGGGGCGGCACCTGTGGCTCAAAGGAGTAGGGCGCCGGCCCCATATGCCGGAGGTGGCGGGTTCAAACTCAGCCCTGGTCAAAATCTGCAAAAAAAAAAAAAAAAAAAAAAAAAGCTATATTTAGGGATATGATTAATATGAGCAAATAATTTTAAGTACTTTTTTTTTAACAAGATCCCTCCAAAATAGCTATAAAGGACAGTTGGCCACAGTGTTATCACTATAAGAATAAGAAAAAATATGCTTTGAAAGATTTGTTGCAGAATAACTGGCAATTTAAAAAGTTGAATAAGAAGAGCAAATACATGTTTCTAAGCTTTTTCTGTGAAATGATAGAATATTGGAGCTTTTCAAAGTGGATAACTTTATCAATTTGTTGTATTGTCTGAGTGTTCAAGTCCACTAAATACGTTAATCAAAATATTTGTAGGCAGAAGTAAAGAGATGATAGATGTTTTTCTCCTGCTTCTCAGAATTAGGTACATCTGTTTATGGAGTATTTAGGGGTAAAGTAAATGGGACTTTGTGGTTTATGAGGTTTATGAAAGATGTTAATATGAAAAACAGATAAGTAATAGAAATAGTTTTAAATGGCTAAATTTTGGTGTTGTCTCTTTCTGCCTATTTTGATAATGTAAAATTATACATACAAGATTAAAGATTTTTAGATATGTTTTGAAATAAGTTATCACAGTGAGATCAAGCAATATAAAACAGGAGGAAATTTATTACTATTCTTTAGAGTTGAATGGGTTAAGTTTTTGTCATAATGTGTAAATTTCCTATCTCTTGTGATTTTTTAAAAAATTTATGATGAAACATTGATAACCATTTACTTTAGTCATAGGAACTACTTCTAACTCTTATTTTCAGGCAGTTTCTTTCTTTTTTTTTTTTTAGAGACAGAGTCTCACTTTACTGCCCTGGGTAGAGTGCCATGGCAGCGTCACACAGCTCACAGCAACCTCCAGCTCCTGGGCTTAGGTGATTATCTTGCTTCAGCCTCTTAGTAGCTGGAACTACAGGCCCCTCCACAATGCCCAGCTATTTTTTTGTTGCGGTTTGGCCGGGCTGGGTTTGAACCCGCCACCCTCAGTATATGGAGCCGGCGCCCTACTCACTGAGCCACAGGTGCCGCCCACTAGGCAGATGTTTTTTAAAGTATTAAGAGTTTATGCATAAAGGCTGATTTAAAATAAAATGATAATTTCTCCACACTGCACTGTTGATGTGTTGGGCTTCATGGTGCTTTGCAGGGAGGGAGCTGTCCTGGGTATTGCGGGGTGTCTAGGGGCATGTTTGGCTGCTACTCAACAAGATTCCAATAATGATCTCGAGTGATAAAACCAAAAATGTCTCCAGACTTTGCCAGCTGTCTCTTAGGGGACAGAACTGACTCCAGTTGAGAGTCACTGCCATGGTGCATTTACTGAAATTCTTACCATGCTTTTCAGAGGCAAAATTTAGAATAAAGTCACATTACCATTAATAGCCAAGCCCCAAATCCGCAGATTCCAAAAACTGTTACAGAGTAATTTGTGATAATTCAGCATAAATAAAAAGGTCAGGCTACGTTTCTTAATCAAAGATTAAATCGTCTAGGTAATTGGTACAGAACAAACCACTAGAAACATGTTATTGAGAGCCACAGAGGGAAATAAAATTAGTTAATAGCTACAGATGAAATTTACAGCTGTTTCTTCAGTTATCATTTTAAAACCTAAGGCTGTAGGATCTGCAGATACTAAAGGACGCGTGAAGGTCCTTTTGCTGTTTTGTGCTATTCCCAAATGACAGCAATTTTCCTCCCGTGGCATGGTGGAATACAAATGTGGCTCTCTCCTCCTGTCATTATGTCTACACGAGGTGAAGCCCTGTGCCCTGCCAGGAACGCGTTAATCTAACTTCCTCTCCAGAATTTTTGGCATTCTTTATCACGACAAGCAGCCATCGGGCAAACTCGTTCACAGGATGCTCTGTAGTTTAAACATATGCTGGGGGAAGTAGAAAAATATAGCTCGTGGAGAGAAAAAGAAAAGCGACATATTTAATTATGACCACAGAACTCTTATCACGCCTGAAAAATTAAAATAATCCTTTAATATCAAGTATTCTGTCATTCTTCAAATTTTCAGTTCTCATAAATGTCATGTTTTAAAAGTTTTTATGGGAATCCAGACTCAAAAATAACCACACAGTGTGACTATTTGATATATTTTATAATTTTTTTAAATCTTTAAGTTAACCCTTCTTCCTCCCTCCCCCTTGTAATCTATTTGTTGAAGAAACTGGGTTGTTTGTATAGCAGTGTTTCCCACAGCCTGGAGTTTGCCGATTGTATTCTCATAGTGTCACTTACTTAAGTGTCACTTGTGTTCCTCTGTCTCCTGTATTTCCTGTAAACTGGCTTGACCAGATATAGATTCGGTTTTCTTTTTGGCAAGTTCAAAAAGAAGGTAATAGCCACTCACAGCATTATCAGCCTCTTGCTCAGTGACTTGCAAATTGATTTAACTAACATTTGTGGAGTATTTACAGCGTGCCCGCTATGTGCGTCTGGTCTACAGGCCTTTAGATCTTTTCATCTTATTCAGCCTCACAATACTGTAATAGTTACATGTGGTCTATTTGGTAACCAGACCTCTCATTAGGGCCAAGCAGTCTTAAAACGTCTCAGACAAATCCCTCGGTACATACACCATTGTCACTTATGTGATTCCGTTTGGAGTTCTATCTGCATTTTCTTTTTACTGAGTTTGTTTAGAACTATACAAAAATACTTTGCATTAAAGGCACTTTTTATTTTATTTTAATAATAAAACCCAAGGACCTATTATTTCACTGTGAATTCATTGCGCTCAAGCTTTTTGGTGTGGGGATTCACCATCTGTTAACCTCACAAAGATATCTAAACCACACACAAGGCCAGCAGAATGCAGGGTTTCCTGAGTCTCTTTCTTCCTCCTCGTGCATTGTCTCCTGCAGGTGCACTTACGACTCTTTCATCTCTTTCTGCTTTCTTTGCATGCTCCCAGTGCTCACAATATCCTACTGTTTCCCAGTGTGAGAAACTGGCTCGTGATTGTAACAGCAAAACTAGCTTTTCATTGTTTGTTTACATATCTTTAATTTATTCTGCTCAATTCTCTTCAGAGCCCTCAATTCAACTGTTTATGAAACCAGACCATTGGAGCTCCAGACTCAAAAAATAAATGTCAGATTATCTTGACCAGCTGTCACTTTTGAAGATTAAACTGTTTAATATGTGGTGGATGGAGCAAAGGCCAACCAGCCCAAGTCGCAATTACATCCCAGAGCACTGGAAGCAAAACAATGCAAAGAGGGTTGTTTTGTGTGGTTTTTACAAGTTGCAAAGAGTGATTTCTTCTTAATATATCTTAACCCTTTCTCTACAGTCATTTCTCCTTTAACAGTTGTAACTTTCTCCTCAGTTTCCAGAATGTCTATTAGCTAAAACATTTGGTTGGTTGACTAGATAGAACATAAAGCCCAGCTGAATAGACTCGGGAAGGGAAATGACTGTGGAGTTTAATTTCCGATTGTAGTTGACACTACAAGACATTAGACAGGCTTGGCGCCTATGGCTCAAGTGGCTAAGGCGCCAGCCACATACACCTAAGGGGGCGGGTTCAAATCCCTAGCCCGGGCCCGCCAAACAACAATGATGGCTGCAACCAAAAAATGGCCAGGCGTTGTGGCGGGCGCCTGTAGTCCCAGCTACTTGGGAGGCTGAGGCAGGAGACTCGCTTGAGCCCAGGAGTTGGAGGTTGCTGTGAGTGTGATGCCATGGCACTCTACCCAGGGGGATAGCTTGAGGCTCCGTCGCAAAAAAAAAAAGACATTAGACAAATAACCAGATTCTTTGTTCTTATTTCTTTAAAACAAAAGTATTTTTATTATGGTTATTCATAAAGATTATTCATTTAAGATCCGTATGTGAAACAGTCTTTTGTAAGCTCTGAATAAATGGGAATTGTGTCTCCCTACCTGATCTTTCATGGTGCCCAGGATAGCGTGGCACGTGTGTTTGTGTTTAATAAGTAGCTTTTGATGATGGTGGTTTGAAAGGTTATACATCTTAAAGGATATTTTGTTCTCCTTTTCCTTGGCAGGACCAAGGAGCTTCCTTTTCTAAGACCAGTGCTGTTTGGACTCGGTGAAAGTACACTTTGTTCTAGAATTGACATATGAAAGCCGAGAATATATATTAAGTTATTCCAAGAAGGGGGAGAAAATCATGTTCTAGGATAGTGAATGCTGACTTGCTGTTGAATGAATGACTGTTGTCCTCTTTTCCTCCCAGGCTCGCTTCTCATATGTGCGGATGAAATATCTTTTCTTTTCCTGGTTGGCAGTTTTTGTTGGAAGCTGGATTATATATGTGCAGTATTCTGCCTATACAGAATTATGCAGAGGAAAGGACTGTAAGAAAATAATAGTAAGTATTTTTAATTTCCTAGTTTACTGAAAAGTCTTGTAATAACATGCTATATTTACTACTTATGTATTTACTAATAAGTATTTTCAAAAATAAAAGTTAATTTGTCATTAGAATTGTGCTGAACTTCTTAGCTTTTTTATATGACCAAAGTAGTAGGAGTTTCCCCCATTTTGAAAATTCAGTATTCACAATTTAAAGTAAATAATATAGTTAAGTTAGTGTGGGAGCATCCTCATTATAAAAAAGGGTTTTTGTTTTCTAAATATGTTTGTAGGCTTGGCGCCTGTGGCTCAAGCAGCTAAGGCACCAGCCATATGCACCTGAGCTGGCAGGTTCGAATCCAGCCCAGGGCCTGCCAAAAAACAATGACGGCTGCAACCAAAAAATAGCTGGGCGTTGTGGACGCCTGTAGTCCCAGCTACTTGGGAGGTAGAGGCAGGAGACTCGCATGAGCCCAGGAGTTACAGGTTGCTGTGAGCTATGATCCCATGGCACTCTACCCAGGGGGACAGCTTGAGGCTCTGTCTCAAAAAAAGAAAAAAATATATATGTTCGTAGTTTAGTTTATTCTAATCAGATTGGTTTTTAATGTTTAGAGTATAACAATATTATTTATAGGCAACCTTTTAAGAAAGCATCTTTTAAGTAAATGGAGTAATTCTTAAATACCAAAATTTATTGATAAAGTATATACGTTTATTGATTATTGAATTTTTATCCTAATGATTGGATATATCTCAGACAAATCACCATATCACTCTGAAATTTCTAGTAGTGATTATTGGTTCCATAGCACTAATATTTTAAATGTTTAAGGATTTCGAGTAAACTTAACTCCTTGTTTTCTGCTGGTACCTTTAATATAAATAATATTAAAACACTTCATCTCAGAAGTATATATTTTTTTTTCTTGCAGTTTTTGACTGGGGCTGGGTTTGAACCCACCACCTCTGGCATATGGGGCCGGCGCCCTACTCCTTGAGACACAGGCGCCGCCTAGAAGTATATTTTTAATGATAATCATTTGAAGGGTTCCTAATTATTCACATATTAAGGGTTTGACAATTATTATTTCTTTTTATTGTTTGAGATTCATTGAGAGTACAAAGAATTAGGTTATGTTGATTGCATTTGTTAGGTAAAATCCCTCTTATAATTGTATCCCGCCCACAAGAGGTTTGCCATACACTGTGACCCCCATTCCCTTCCCTCCTCCCCTCTCCCTCATTCCCCTGTCCCCCTACCTTGTATTAGATCATCCCTGCCTTCATATTAGAATTGAGTACATTGGATTCTTGCTTCTTTTCCATTCTTATGATGCTTTACTTAGAAAAATGTATTCCAACTCTATCCAGGTCAATACAAAAGATGTAAAGTCTCCATCTTTTTAATGGCTGAATAGTATTCCATGGTATATGTATACCACAGCTTGTTAATCCATTCCTGGATTGGTGGGCATATAGGCTTTTTCTACATTTTGGCAATTGTAAATTGAGCTGCAATAAACAGTCTAGTGCAAATGTCCTTATGATAAAAGGATTTTGTTTCTTCTGGGTAGATACTTAGTAATGGGATTGCAGGATCAAATGGGAGGTTTAATTTGGGTTCTTTGAAGATTCTTTATTCCTTCCAAAAAGCTTTTATTAGTTTTCAGTCCCACCAGCAGTGTAAAAGTATTCCCTTCTCTCTACATCCACACCAGCATCTGCAGCTTTGAGACTTTGTGATGTGGGCTGCTCACTGGGATCAGGTGATATCTCAGGGTGGTTTTGATTTGCATTTCTCTGATGATTAGAGATGATGAGCATTTTTTCATATGTTTGTTAGACATACATCTGTCTTTCTTAGAGAAGGTTCTATTCATGTTTCTTGCCCAGTGATATATGGGATTGATCTCTTTTTTTGCAGGTTTTTGCTGGGGCCGGGTTTGAACCCACCACCCCCAGCATATGGGGCCAGTGCCCTACTCCTTGAGCCAAAGGCTCCACCCAATATGTGGGATTGAGTCTTTTTTTGTTGATTAATTTGTATTCTCTATAGATCCTAGTTAGCAAGCCTTTGTCAGATTCATAATATGCAAATATTTTTTCCCATTCTGAAGGTCATCTGTTTGCTTTGGTGGTTGTCTCCTTAGCTGTACAGAAACTTTTCAGTTTAATTAAGTCCCATTTATTTTTGTTGTTGTTGTTGGAATTGCAATGGAAGTCTTCATAAAATCTTTCCCCAGGCTAATATCTTCAAGTGTTTTCCCCACACTTTCTTAAAGGATTTTTATTGTTTCATGCCTTAGATTTAAATCTTTTATCCATCTTGAATCAATTTTTGTAAGGTTAGCTCGGCATTTATAGCACAGTGGTTATGGCACCAGCCACATACACACAGGCTGGCGGGTTTGAACCTTGCCCGGGCCGGCTAGACAACAGTGACAACTGCAACAACAAAAAAAAACCAAATAGGCATTGTGACAGGCACCTGTAGTCCCAAGTACTGGGAGGCTGAGGCAAGAGAATCTCTTAAGCTCAAGAGTTTGAGGTTGCTGTGAGCTGTGACACCATGCCACACTCTACCAAGGGTGACAAAGTGAAACTTTGTCTCAAAAAAAAAATTTTTTTTTTTTGTAAGGTGCAAAGTGTGGCTCCAGTTTTAGTCTTTTACATATGGTTATCCAGTTCTCCTAGCACCATTTATGGAATAGGGATTCTTTTCCCAAGTGTATGTTCTTGTTTGGTTTATCAAAGATCAAGTGGCTGTAAGATGTTTGTATTAAGGGTTTGACAATTATTAAATAGTTATTCTTTACCCAGGCCAGTGGTGCTAGGTGTGCATGTATAGCAAGGAATAAGATGTCCTTGACCTTACTAAATTTACAGCTGAGGCCAGGTGAGGTGGCTCACACTTATAATCCTAGCACTCTGGGAGGCTGAGGCAGGTGGATTGCCTGAGCTCACAGGTTGTTTTTTGTGTTTTTTTTTTTGAGACAGAGCCTCAAGCTGTTCCCCTGGGTAGAGTGCTGTGGCAACACAGCTCACAGCAATCTCCAACTCCTGGGCTCAAGCAAGTCTTCTGCCTCGACCTCCCAAGTAGCTGGGACCACAGGTGCCCGCCACAATGCCCAGCTATTTTTTGGTTGCAGCCGTCATTGTTATTTGGCAGGCCCGGGCTGGATTTGAACCCGCCACCTTAGGTGCATGTGGCTGGCGCCTTAGCCGTTTGAGCCATAGGCACCAAGCCAGCTCACAGGTTTGAGACCAACCTGAGCAAGAGCAAGACCCCGTCTCTAAAAATAGTCAGGTGTTGTGGCAGGTGCCTATGGTCTCAGCTACTTGGGAGGCTGAGGCAAGAGAATGGCTTCAGCTCAAGAGTCCGAGGTTGCCATGAGCTATGATGCCACGGCACTCTACCAGAGGTGACAAAGTGAGACTCTGTCTCAAAAAAATAAATAAATTTACAACTGAGCTGGGAAGAAGTGAGTAATTACAGTGAGGTTAGGCAAATACATGGTAGCACTTGCATGAGAATATAAGACAGGGAGACATGAAGTTTCCCAGAGTTCTAAGAAAATAAATATCAGTTTAATACTAAGCATTCTTTTTTGTTTTTTGAGACAGAGTCTCGCTTTGTCGCCCTGGGTAGAATGCCATGGCCTCACAGTTCACAGCAACCTCAAACTCTTGGGCTCAAATGATTCTCTTGCCTTAGCCTCCTATAGCTGGGACTACAGGCACCCACTACAACACCCAGCTGTTTTTAGACACGGGGACTTGCTCTTATTCAGGCTGGTCTTGAACTCATAAGCAACAATCCACCCACCTGGGCCTCCCAGACTGTTAGGATTACAGGTGAGCCACCTCACCTGGCAATACTAAGTATTCTATCAGTCAAGATTTAAAATCCATTATTCCCAGGAGTGTTACATGCCTTACCTAGGGAAGAGAGAAAATACTAATATTAGAAGCAAGGGAATGAATTAGTAAAGCAGAATCCCAAGTTAAGGTTCAAAGATGTGCATTACAATTGACCATTCCAGATCCTTGAGGAATTTTAAGATAAGAAGAACTTCTGGAACCAATTAATGCTCATATTTATGTCTTCATTAATCCTTAAAATAATACTATGAGATACCCCAAGTCCATTTTATAAATAAAGAAATACGACCCCTTTTGTGTGGGGGACGTAAATACAAGAGGGACTCTACGTAACAAAATCGAATATTTTGATCTGGTTGTTTGTTTGTACCCTCACATTCACCTGAAATAAATTTACTTTAAGAAAAAGAAAGAAAGGAATAGGACCCAAGGGAAAGAGAAGAATTTCTCCAAAATGATGGAACTAGAGTTTGGTCCTAATTCTGTCTCTATATAAAGCTCATACTTTTTCTTCTACTCTATGTCAGAAAAGACTGACAGAGAAAGTTTTGGTAAAAACTTTCAGATCAGATATATTTGAAGATAGAGGGTTAAGCAAAGATAAATAGGCTGATTTTACTGAGGACGTCTTAGGACCTTTAATATATTAATGTGTGTTATACATCTCTGAGAGAGCAAATATGCTTGATCAGAAAAAAAAAATGCATCCTCACCACACCCTCCCAAAAAGATGTGTTTTAACACCATCTGGTAATGTTAGAAATAAGGTTCCAAGAGATGAAGCCAAAATGAAGTGGATATGCTTTTAAATACCTGTATTGATACAGTGTCCTTCAACTGTAAGGCATGTATTGGTATATGTTCTGTCATGAGTAAATTATAGTTGAAGTGTCTCCTTATTTTTGACCTTAATTTAATTTCCCCTTAACTTATAGGAAATGGGCTGGGCATGGTGGCTCATCACTCTGAGAGGCCGAGGTGGGTGGATTACTTGAGCTCAGGAGTTCAAGACCAGCCTGAGCAAGACTGAGGCCCCATCTCTACTAAAAATAGAAACATTGGCTCGGCGCCTTGTGGTTCAAGCGGCTAAGGTGCCAGCCACATACACCTGAGCTGGCGGGTTCGAATCCA